ATCACTGAAGCATTGAATATATTTTTCAAGACAACCTGTCCTGAGTATGACGATAAACACACACACACTGTCGCCACACACACACACACACACACACACATATATATATATATATATATATATATAAATATGAATATATATATATCAAAACTTAGAGGCGACAGTCTGTTTCATGCTATATGCAATCGTCAGGCCACATATGCTGTTATTTTTCTCGGCTATTTATATATATACGGGTTAGTGGTGCATTGTGGGTATTCTATTATGGCGGTTATTTTTACCGGAAGTCGCTTTGTTTATTTATTTGGGTCAAATTATATTGCTCGTTTTATTTTTTTGTTTCTTATTTTATTTATTTATTTATTAACGTAGTAAAAATTTGTTTATATCACGTATTTAACAGTTTTGTTTTGGTTTGAGAATTTGATTAAAGCTATTTGTTCAATTTTGGGGTTGTTTGTTGTAGTTCATTCTAACTATTATTTTTTTTGGCGGGAACAGTTTTTAATTTGGGATTGGTTTGAATTTAGGTCAATTTATTTGTATATTTTTTTCTTTTCGGTTTTCGGTTTTTTAAGCAACATAGTATTTATTTATTTTATTTTATTTTATTTTATTTTTTATTAGTGTATTTGTTTTTTTTTTTATTTTTTCCGTTTTTCATTTTTTTAGGTTACGTAGTAAAAATTTATTTTCATGCCTGCATTTTGAGATGAGCTCGGATCTTTTATTTAATAATTTATTTTGGTCGGGGAAGGTAATGATAGCTATTTTTCCTCCAAGCAAAGTTTGCAAGTTTTTTGATTGGTTGTTGTAGGCTGATGACTTTTTTCCTTATCTTCCAAGATATTTTTGGTGTGATGTGCGTTTTGTTTTTTATTTCCCAGATATACTTAGAAAGCATAGTACTGTTCGTATATTTACTATTTGTGAACGATGTTTTGTGTGTATAATTTCTTTTCTTCCAGGGCCCTTCAGTTACTCCTATGTATACTTTTTTCTTCATTATCTGGTGATTTTATCGTGGCTTGGTATATTACGTTGTTTTGTAAACAATTTCCGTTTAAAGGGACATTCGTTCTTTATTCTGCAGTTGCACGTGGGTTTAATTTGTTCGTGTGGTTTGTTGATAATTTTCCTATTGTGCTTTTTTTATTATTTGTGCCATGCTCTCGGTGCAGCTGTAGCTGATTTTTACTGTGTTTTTGTTGAATATCTTGTGTAAGGTGCTTGATTCTGGGAGGTGTTTGTGTAAGAGTTTGAGGAATATTTTTCCTACGTTTGTTTTTACGTTCTTGCTGTACGGTGGGTTGAACCATATGATATTTCTTCTCCTGTTGGTCTTTTTTTGTATTCTGTGGTGAATATGTGAGTATTGCTGGGAATCCGCTATCTTTTAGGGCCGTTTCATAGTCTTTCTTAGCTTTGTTGAATAGGGGATTCATTGGAGGAATTGTCGGAGAGCCTGCGGTTAATCGATTTTGGTATCTGTTTGATTATAGAAGGCGGATGGTTGGAAGATGTGTATGTAGAGTGGTTTATCGTTAGGTTTTCTATATGGTTTATATGTGCCTTCTCTTAGGTTGAAGGTAACATCTAGGAAATCTACTTCGTTTAGATTAGTTTTTATATCTATGTCGAATCCGTTATTTTTAAAAATCTTTATTATTGCTTTTCTAGTTTTGTCTGTGTTTTGTTTGTTACAGTTTCTTAAGATTATGAGACCGTCGTCCCTGTAGAGACCTGTGTCATTTTTATCTATTATTTTCCTCAGTTCGTGTAGTAAGTAAATGCCTATGATTCCGCATGCCTCTGCACCGTCAAAGCTTCCCATTGTAGTGTCAAATATCCCATCTTTCTTTATCCATGCTTCTTCGTTGTGGAATAATAATGATTTACGGGAGTGCTTAATGATGTTGATTTCGCTTGGTTTTATTATTATTTGTTCCTGAGCTAAGTTGATGGCCTTATCTAGCATACGTTCTGTTATGGATGGGTAAAATTCTTTTATGTCTAATTGTAGGAATTGGCAATTTTGTTTGTTATTTATGTTGTGGAACCAGTCAATAGTTGTTTTCGTATTTTTCCACTGGTTTACTCCTAATTTCTTCCTAAGTTCAGAATTAATTCTTTCTAGTATTGTTTTGCTTATTTTACCTAGTTCGCTTTTGGCTGACAGCATAACAGCATATGTGGCCTGACGATTGCATATAGCATGAAACAGTCTGTCGCCTCTAAGTGTTGACTTCTATGTTCACTTTTATATTTACACACGCTCTATCTCAGATATTGAGCACTTTATCCCATAAATATAGCACACCTTAAGACTATATTTCTTTATATATATATATATATATATATATATATATATATATATATATATATATAATACATCGAATTCTCTCGTGTTGACCAATTTTAATATTTTTATATGATTAGGACCCACTTGGATTATATACCCTCAATTTTATATTAACTTACTCTCTCTCTCTCTCTCTCT